ACTTTCTTGGGAGACTGGAGTGAGGAGAGAGAGAGAGGGCGCTCTGTAAGTCACTCATGTACGACAGAGGGGACTTCCTGTCTTAAAACGGTCCTTCAAATATTGACAGTTGTGCACACATCTCTAAAGCCGTGATTTTCTCATTCTGCATTTTCCTGTTACTGACAGATGTATTTGACCAGCAAAACAAACACTGAAGTGCTGTCACAGTCAAACTGAAACGATCAAACATGCTGAGAACAGGAACAGAGTCTCAGTTTGTGTTCCAGACTTTTCGGCACAGAGCGGTCCATCGGGTTTGGGCCGCCCTGTTTCCTAAAGCTGGGTCGATCTGAGCCTCCACTGGATTATACTCAGTCACTGGGACAGACGGGCATAGTGGCGGGAGGCTGCTTTGACCCAAATCACACATTTTCTGATACTCACCAGACCCAGAGGTCCGATTTTGGGGGCCAGGGCTGAGGTGGCGCCGACTTCTCCTCCTGTGCACCTCATGTACACTGAAAGAAACGACAGACTCCATTAAAACCTTTGCACACAGACAGAAAACTCATTTCTGAAGCTTCAGAATAAAACTGCTAACTAAAGCTACATGTTAAGAAACCACCCGCGCTGATTACATGAAGCCGATCTCAGTTTGTGGACGTCTGCCTGTCCGGAAATGTTAGTTTAATCATTTTGGGGCCACTTGGTAATCATTTTGAAACCATGACAGAAAATGGTTTAGATCTTTCAGCATGGCCAGTCTTTAAAACACCAGTAAATGAGCAGAAGCCCTAAAAGTGATCATTTTAAAACAGAGGCACAGACAGAGCTCTGAAACCAGGATGTGGCTCAGACGCTGATATTCAGCACGCCAGTCAACTGAAAGAAGGTCAACACTGTAAACACTGACTCTACGTGGGTTTTTGGCCAATAAATGCCAAACACTTATGAAGTGACTGATTGTTCTTCACTGCATCACAGAAACCTCAAACGTGACATGAAAGTGACCAAACTGGTGAATTGCTGCAGTTCTGTGCTGACTGAACTCACAGCAGCTGCGCTCGTACGTCAAACATCTCATTTCAGGTGGGCTGAAACCTTTACAGTAGCAACTGATGTGCATTTATTAGTCAGATATCTGCACGACAGTAAAGCTTCCTGGTTTTAGGTTTGTAGTTAACGCAGTAGTGATGGATCACATTTGGCTGTCATAAAGGGTAAGACAGGAACCCACTGGCCAAAATGCACTCCTGCATTCACAGCCCGACTGTAAGCGATGACCTCAACCAAAGTCCTGAGCCAGATGGCTGCATCTGAAGCTGTGAAACAGCTGTTCTCCCAGAGGTTAAGTGGTCAGACAACACCTGATGCTTCCCCAAAATTCTCATCTAATGAGGATTAACAGGAGCTGAACCTTCTGTACAAACAGCTGACCCTCACACTCCCTCCATTTTCCTTCGCCCACATGTCGCTGGCAAACATACGCAACACTCAACATAAAAAGCCTAGATATAACAATATTTTGAATTACACAACATGTTAACAAATTACACTACTTTCCAAACCTTCACCTGCTTTAGCCAACTTAGTGTTTGCAGATCAGGGATTTGAAAGGAATAAACAGCAGCTGGACCTTTAAGAGTCCCATCATAAGTAACCTCCATCAACCATAAGTGTCAATTTAGCAGTTCCTGTATCTTTGACATGTTTTAGGATGCTTTTTACCCCACTGAAGCCCTTGGGGTGGGGGCACATTAGGAAAAAAATTAGCTCCATGTTGTGCCACGTTGATCAAACTACACTTTCCACTGGAGAAATGTAGTTTTAAGGTTTAAAAGACTACAAGTTTACATGCTAACTCTTTTGAGTTTGCACTAATGCTATAATAGCAGTACATGCTCTCACATACAAAAGGATTTAACCGCAGCATTGCGTAAAGTGTTTGACGCAATCCCAAAATTAGCATCATAACAATTGTTACAACTACGTCATTATTCATCGCTAAAAGCTGTCCAAACATGGTCCCCATATTGCATTAAGACCCTTTAGAAGATAACGGTTTCCTCATAAATGTACTTCAGCTCTTTGTAAGGTAATTAACTGTGGCTAACGTTAGCATTAGTTGCTACGTTAGCATTAGCAGCACGTGGGTCAGCACGTTACCCACTACACTACCCTCTACACCTGCCTCCGATCTGACATATTTTACTCAATCGGCATCATTAATTCTAGAAACATCAACAAACGCCTAAACTGAGTTTCTTCGTCGCGTTTCGTGTCCCATCTTTACCATTTTGTGAGCGCCGTGTGCAGGCCGCCAGGCAGGCGGAGGCAGACGGCAGAGAGCGACTCCATCCCGGCTGTGAAAAAGCGTCTGCTTTTATTACATTCAAAACATACCAATTTTAATCTCGTTGGGGTCGAATTTGGGCGGCATTTTGCTGCTGTGGAGGTTGAGCTCAGTTCAGCTTGGTTGGTGAGGGTGTCGGATGAACCCGGCTTCGGGACGACCGATAACTGTTGCACCTTCACCTCTAAAGGGGAGAAAGAGAAAGGAAGAGCGGCGGCTGCGGAGGAATTTATACTTCAGCCAAGTCCCGCGAGAACATGTGTCGCAGTTCGCGTTGAGACGTATGACGGAACGCCATGTGGGCGTGGTTTAAGACTTACTTTAGCCAATAACTAAATTGCTAAAATCATTTCTAAAATTTTAGGGGATTTATTTGAACAATAAATAAATAAAAAGACACCTGAAAAGACGAGCGTACTCCATGAAATTTGAATTAATATAGTTTCAAATAATAAATGCATAAATTACATTCGTGATATATATTATATTTAACTGTATTTTACTAGAAAAAAAAATTACATTGGACGTAAATACATTTACACCGGAAGCTCTTTCTGATGTGATCTGCTCCCAGTCTCAGCCTGAGGATCTTTCATAAAGAGAATTTTTGTAAACAGCACAGAGACACAGAAATATATGGAACGCCAGGACACATGTAATTAATTAATTATTGACACATTTAATTAATTATTTAATGGTGTATTTAATTAATTAATTATGGCAGTCCTGGCGGTCCATAGAAATACACGCCGTCTGTTGTATGAAGGAAAATGAAACGCTATGGCAAATTTAAATG